CAACTTGATATATAGGTATGCTTGGCCTATCTTCAGTTTGGCATATTTTTGCATCCCCCAGTTAATGTTAACATCATGAAATTTTATATTTTTATAAAGTAGACATTCCAGGGTATTGTTTGTTTTCACATCCTTCCCCCAACCATTGTGCTAAACAAATTTCAGAGAACGTGCATGGTGTTAATTTTTGAATTCTGCTTTTTATGCACACGTCATCTGATTTTGGCCAGCCAGTTATATGTTACTACTGTAGCCCGTGAAGTTACACAGGCTGCATTATCTGAAATGCCCAGTAGATGGCACATGGACTCAGTATGCTGTTAATAAAACATTGAGCTTTGATCACATGACTTGCTGAAATCAGGAGATGAGTGTGGCATCATCGCAGGGCCTGTCAGGACTTCCTGCACAGCTCTGAGGGAGGAGGATTCTAAGAGAGACCACATGCTGAGCCAGAGAAAGGACATGTGAGAGACTGTAGCACAGAGATAGGACCTGGCTGAGAGAACTTGTTTCACCCAAGATCACACCAGCTGAGAGAGGGACCTGCAGAAAAAAGAAAAGAAGACAAGCACTGAGTCCAGACGTCTGGCGAATCCAGTGAGAGGAGGCTGCTGCTGACTGACCTGGTTAATCGTGTTGTGAGGGTAAGCCAAGCCTCTCCCTGTATCACCACAGGGCACCTGTCTCCTCACTCACAGTAAAGACTCTGAGGTCCCGTGACGGACATTACACATCTGAGGCTGCTTCAGTGACCCTGCGGAGCAGGACTTATAAGGGCCCCAACTCTCCTATGTGCACCAAAGGCCGCTAGGGCGAAGATAAGGGGGTGGGGCGCAGGTGTGCTGGTGGGTGAGTGAGGGAAATCCACATTTGCATTGTTATCTGTGTTACTCTATTGTATTTTCCTATGTATGTTGGTTCAATTGCTACTTACCATATAAAGTTAGTCCCAGTTAGACTGTGTCAGTCTCATTGCACCAAGTATGTTCCCAGTGGGACCCCACATCCCTACCCCGGATGCTCCACTGGGTGGAGGCACTGCCGCAGACATGTACCCCAGCTCCCAGATAGCGGAGGCTCAGGATCCGCCTGTCAGGCATAGTGAGTTAACTAGGTTTGGGGACCCCAAAGACACTAGGGGGCACCCCCAAAACCCCGTTACACTACCATAAAACTTTTTTAACCAAATGTGCAGGTATCAAATGCACCTTTAGCAGCATTCTCTAAACTAGCTCCTGCAAAAAGAATCTAACTGGAGATTTGGGGGAAGGAAACTGACTAACTAAAATCTGCTGCTATCAAAAGAAAAAAAACAGTGCAAAGGGGTGTTTTTCCTTTTCCCTTTTTTATAACAGATCCAGCAACATTTCAGGGGATTTGTTTTTTTTGCAGTTGGCGGTATCTTTAAAATAAAATGTCTGGACTCCTCTGGCACCGTTGTTGGAACTTGACCATCTCCATAAATTATTGTGAAAATCAGCTTGAACTGAAATTGGAGAAAGGTGGTTCTTTCTGGATTCATTTTTTTAAAGAGTAAAAATGAATTATGTGTTGCTACTTGCATCAGGTAGATAGCCACCTTTTTATACCAGGCTTTTTCTAAGCCCTGATGCAAACAGGTTTGGTCTGTACTCTGCCTCGGACAGTGACGTCTGACATGCTTTCGTCATGGATGGTGGTTAGTATATTAACATCCTTCCTGTCCTTAAATTTTATTGCACGCACTTTAGCTTTGTGCAGACCTTTACATTCACTTTTTTTTAATTTGGCCTCTATAAAATGTCTGGGGAAATCCTAGGCATAAAGGTGGTAACCTTTATTGAACAAGGGGATCAGTAGGTCCCAAACAAGTTTCCCACTTGTCCCCAGAGAGTCAGGACAGCCAGGAGGGTTCAGTTGAGCATCTTTCCCCTCATGTACACGAAGGGCAAATGTGTAGCCACTTTCGCTCTCGCACAGTTTGTACACTTTAATGCCATACCTAGACCGCTTTGAGGGGATATACTGTTTGAACCCTAATCTCCCTTTATATTTCATAAGGGATTCATCAATAGATAAATTTTGTTGGGGAGTATAAACTTCAGAAAATCTGTTCTGAAGATGGTCTACCAGTGGGCATATTTTATGAAGCCTATCATATTGGGGGTGATCTTTGGGGTGACAGAGGGTATTGTCGTTGAAATGTAAGTATCTCAGCAGCAGCTCATATCTTGGTCTAGGCATTGTTTGGGAGTATATAGGAGTCAAACAAATTGGGTTGGTGCTCCAGTAAGAGCGGATTGATGGCTTCTTTATTATCCCCATGAGCACTGTAAGAGCCCAGAATTTTTTAAGTTCAGGGACATCTGTGGGATGCCAAGCATGCTCCCTGACTGTATAGCTACCTGGATTCGTCTTAATAAATTGGCTAGCATATAAATTAGTCTGAGAAACAATCTCCTCCCAGATGGTATCCCCTAAAAATAACTCCATATATTGTATAGTGGAGAAGTCAATCACATTCACATTAATGCCTGCGTTGGCACTAAAAGGGGTGATGTTGGGCTCAGCTGACTGTGGAGGTACCCAGTCCTCCTCCACATTCGGCATAGCAGGGGAAGCACAGCTTCTTTTAGCAACTGGCTCACACACAGACGACATGTCACTAGACGTGCCGCTAAACTGACCTGGGTCAAAATCGGACGCAGTGTCAGTGGCGTCAGAGTCTGACGCCAAGAAGGCATATGCCTCCTCCAAGCTGAACATGCGCTGCATGTTTCACACTAACAGACTAAACTAACAAAATACTAAACACAATTTATATATATATATATATATATATATATATATCTATAATTTTTTTTTACACTAAAACAGACTAAAACAATAATCCCTAAACTAACTCCTGTTAGAAGAATCTAATGGAGATTTGGGGGAAGGAAACTGACTGACTATGACAGACTAAGAAAGACTAAGACAGACTAAGACAGTCTAAGACACAGATTTTTAAAATAAAGTTAACCCTTAAGGGAAAAAAAAAAATACAGACAGTACAAATGCACTGTCTGTAACATCTGGCAGGGAAGGGGTTAAAATGGGAATTTTTCACTGCTGATACTTTTTAATATTCTCTGGAACACCTGCTGCAACAAACTATCACGATCTCTGTCTCTCTCCCCTCACAAAACAATACAGAGGGGAGAGAGGCAGAGATCAGTGTCAATGTGAGTGTTTGTAACACCCACTTTGACACCAGCCAATTGTGAGCGATCGCGGATCGCTCACATGCCACAATTGGCTGTTACTATCTGCCTGGGATGCCAGGCAGATAGTAACAACAAGATTTCAGCGGAAATGATCTCCGATAATTATAAAGAAAACCCTTGCGTTCCAGTATCAAATCCAAAATAAACATTAATACTTACCCACAGAGTAATTATTAGGCTTCATTTTTATTATATTTAGAATGGGACATGCACAGTCTTCTAATCAAGCCTAAACATGATTTGCATAACTTAACCATTTGAAAAGGAATTGTGATGTCCACTATATTGGGTCACAAGTAAGGAGTGTGACATGTCTATGGAATGGAAATATGGTAAAGAATTCATAGACGCAATTATTATTTCTGTGGCAAGTACAAAAGAGGAGATCGAAGAAAAAGTTTCTATTTGGATTGATGTTGGTCTGGAACACAAGTGGGTGGTGGTCACTTATTGTCTCCATATGTCCACCTTATCTCCACCTCTAGGCTAGGCTTGGTAATCCACAGGGTATATATCTAATGATTCTGAAATGTGTTTGTACTTGCTTGGGGCCAGAATCTAATTTTGGATCTTCCTTGCCAGAGACCCTTTGGACAGAAATTTTACTTTGAAAAACCTGAGCAAATGATTAGGACTTCTTTTATTGCATCCTTTGTGATTTTATCTGATGTTGGTGTAAATAATTTGTTTATCATCTATTTTTTGTATGTACTGTGAGTATTTTTTGCTCATAATAAATATCCCTTTATTAAGTTCTGCCTTTGTCTGGTTAAGAATGACGTCACCTGAAGAGACTAATTAGTATTTTGCAATTACATAGATATTGTGCTAAGTTATATTTGGTGGGTTTTTATAATAACTTTATAATATAAAGTTACCTGGGGAACCAAGGCATCCCATTTATAAATTGTCTTGGTGGTGGCAGCATTAAAATAGTAATATTTATATTATTATGGTTAAGTGCAGGTGGCGTTAAGAGGGACTTTTATCATTATTTCTGGTCTAGTGCAGACAATTAGTGAACTTTAACCCTTTCACCACCACAACTACATCACGCACACTCTTGAAGTAGGGTGCATTTGTGACAGATACCAAATAAGGGAGCACTAGGGGTTGGAATTGTTTGCAAAACATTATTTATTTGCTAAACATATGCACACACACATATATATATATATATATATATATAAACATTCAGACATACACAAACACACATATCTAAATCACACACACATTTTTTTTATTTAAAGACTAATACTTATACCTGGAAGAGATGGAGTGGATCATCTCCTTGGGGCATGTGGCTACTGGGTTTACAAGTTGCACACTGTGGTACCATTCCCTGGGGAATGCCCAAACTGATATAGGAATTTATTGAACAGAGCTGTATTGTCACAGTTCTCACCATGACATCCAGACAAGGTCACCCCAGAAGTGCCAAATAAGGTATTTGAACCAGGGTACTTTGCAGTCCTGGGCCTGCTGTTTCTCCTCTGAGTCACCATACAGCTCAAGTAATATCCTGAAGTTTGGATCTTACCTTGTATCCCGCACTAGGGGTTGGAATTGTGGGGATATTTATGGGATAATAATATTAAACAGTCGAGAATTGCCCACTATTTCAATCCTCTTAGATCTTAGAGATCGTTTATCAAATAAGTGAAAAGTATTCCATAAATAAATCACAATCTGTTATAAAAATAGATTCATTTTTATTGTAACAAATAACATAACAATATTATTAGGCAGCATGCATGATAATAATCAGTGAGTATTTAGTATAACACAAGTATGCAATACAATGGAATGGCTAACAGCACCAGCTGTCAAGACTTACACGATTTATGAGGTATTCCGCAGAACAGAAAGCAAACTTCACACAGCCCAGCATTAAAACCCTGGTTAACAGTTAAGTCAACTGAATAACCCTTTCAATGCTGGCTAGATCCTCCTAGGCATATAGTATCCTATTCTCCTGTGATTTTCAATTAAAATAACATTTGTACCAACTCATTAATCATTTCCTGGAACCATCCAATAAGAATAATCTACCAGATTCTATAAGCCGAATTTTAATATGCCTAAAAATATATCTTATCTTATTTTAGAGCCAATCAATACACCTGGATAAAAACAGCGGTATGCTAACACGTGATACTATCACATTAATATATAATTATTCTTAATTCCACCTGCAGAAATGAATGTTTATAACTATATATTCTTTAGTTAACTAAGATTTCTAAATATTGAAATCTGACCCTGATTTATCAAGTCATATATAATGCTATTAGTAAATTTTAATTAATTTTAATTAATTAAATAAAACCAGCATAATTACCAGTTATGTAGATATTCTCATCAGATGAGTAGGTAGTCCCAGGAACTTGATTGGTTGTATGGAGGTGCGTGAGTAATAGAGAAAGTGGGGTTGGTTAGAAAGTCAGATTAAAATTCTAAATGTTAAAGAGTTGTGTCCAAGAGAGTTGAAGAGTAGAGTGTTAGTCCCAGATATTGTCCTGGAGTCTCTCTCTCTGCATGTCCGAATCAGATGCCCAAACACCAACTCGTCTTTCTGTGTATCTCCAACTTTTCCCTTTGTCCTTACTTTTAAAGGGCCAGACTCTTTGTACGTCATTAGTTGATAAAGCAATAGGAAGCCGTAGGTGGATTCAATCGATGGATCGCAATTTAGGTATTTGATCCATAGAGGGCAGTCTCGTCTAACTAATCCTTCTTATCCAGGAAAGAGTTAACTTTTCCTGATGAAGATTTTGACGTCATTTGGCTTATCTAAAATGACTACCATAACTTAGATTTGCTGTCGGTTCAAAGCGTTTGTCCCAGTCTTTGTGGCAACTACATTGATCGTAACTTGTAAAATTGACAGTTCTAAACTCAGTTTCACCCCTTACTTACAATGGAACCTTGTAAAATGAATTACTTAGTCTTCTCTGTCACTAGTGTCTGTGTTTAGATAAATGCATTCCTCTAACATTTCGACAGAGCATTCCATCCCCCTGCTTCATTGCTTATCTTTTGGTTAGTGAAAGTAAGAAGAAACTATGTGTCTGTTATCCTGAAGATAGCAAAATGGAGTCTGCTCTGTTTCTGAGTGACTTGACAATATACACTTTTAATTTCTTTCTTAGCACAAAATGTCTGCCGATATAAATATTCTGACATAACCCTTAGTGACCTTTCATGGCAATGATTAATTTAGCCTATGAATAGGCACTATAGAAGTTACCAGACATATTGTGCACTCACATAATTTCTACTGACATAGGCCCGTGCGTGGAATTAACATTTTTGTATATTTTTGTACCTGTAAGAGCTTTGAACTTTACACTTAGTACAATCAACCATAATATTATTAGTATCATTGTAAATTGTTTTCATTTGAAAAATGTTTTTGGGAGTTACATATGGTATGGTTAATAAAAAGTAAATCTCTATACGTTCCGGATCAATTAAGAGAGGTATAGCATCTCCATCTCAAAGGCCAGATTTAATTGCATAGGCTCACTTGTCTCTCCATCCACATTGGCAAGCACCGCATGAACAATATCCTTGGATACAAAATACAGAGGTATGCGTCCCCCTGCCAATTCGATCATTCCAGTTTGCACTTCGTCAAGAAAAGCAAGTGTGTGGAACAATATTGGGTCATGCAGAAATAGAAGTTCACGCTTAAATAAGTCATGACTTTAGTGCAACTCAGTGGATTTGGCAATTAACTCTGAATGCAAATTTGTTGTAACAACTGTGTCTTCCACAATAGTTAACACATCTTGGAGAAGTGTTCTTTGCTGGTTTATCACCTGATGAATATCGTTAATGTGTTACCCCAGACTCTTCAAATGTCTCACCCCTGTCTGTCTCTTTTTCCCTTTCCCCAGTCTCTGCTTGTATCTTTTATCCCTTCCCCAGCCCCTCTGTGTCTCTTTAAGCGCCACACACAGAGGCACATACTCCTTACAAAAGCATAATTACAAACAATGCTCACAAATACAACCAGACAAAGATTGGCAAATGGTACATCCCCAGCTGGAAGAGCATCATGGGATTTATACAACAGATGGGGATCCACTGTTTGGCCACTGTTACACTAGAGGGGTCCAAAAAAAACATATTGCACCAATACAATAGTTACCCTGTGGCGAAACCAACCTCGCCACTGTACACTGGAGAAGCCTGGTTGCTCGCCTGCTCCCTTTAGACTATGGTCCTGCATTTTAAACTTTTATTTTACCAGCAGAAAGGTTTATTCATGCCTTTCTGCAGACTGTTAAAGCCATGCTACCCCAGATAGCTATGCCATGGAGCCCAGCCGTATACTGAAAGACTGTATGAAAGACTTTGGCTCCATGGCGATTGAACTGCATGTATGTGATCTGAGCGCCATTCGGTAGTAATGTGCACTCAGATCTAAGCTATCTGGGGATATGTAGAATGTCCATGTTTTATGGAATAAATGTAACTGTATGTAATTTTATGTCTTTTATTGTCCTTTGTCTGCCATGTGGTTAATGGAGTTTTGCCTCTGTCCTTGGAGATAATTTGATTACTTCACAGTTATCTCCAGGACAGAGAAGAGGGATTGTGATGTAATTGTGGGTGTGTTTTACGGTTCCCCTGTAATGATTGGTTGTACTGTGTCCCACCCTGTGGGATGTCCCCTTGCATGGGGACTTGCATAAAAGCCAGTGTGTGGCCATTACAGAGAGTTCCTGCTTAACCCTCAAAGTGAAGTGTCGTCTCATTATTGGGGGAGGATTTACTGTATGCTGTTAGAGACTGATTGCCAGGAGTGTAAGCTGCTTGGGGGCTTTTCCTGTTCGTCTGCTAGCAGCTATTCGTGTGTCTCCAGTTTTGAGAATTCCCTTGGTATGCAGTTCGGGAGTTGGTGAATTTGTGGGTTTGCAGTTCAGGAGATTGGTGCTTGCAGTAGCTGTCGGTGCAGCTGAAAAAGGGGAGTATCGCCTAAACGGTTTTTAACCTCTTTTGGGCAAAACGGTCCGTTACATACCCTACACTGGTATGGTCCATATCCCCCTTGGTGACTGGGGGTACCCAAACTCCTAGCCACTTTACCTTATATTAAAATGAATAAGCCTAATAATAGTGAAGGAATGCCATTAAACTAATCTTTTTATCTGTAAAATTAAAAAATATTTTTACTATCGGATGTCTTCTGTCTTAAAACATGTATTCAGCTCCAAAAACAGGCAACAAAACAAACCATGAAGTACAAGTGCAACTATTAACATGGGGAAAAAAGGACCAGGTTGAGAAAAGCCAGAAGAGAAAACATTACACAAGAAAAAAAAATCAATCTTTGCCCCATCAGTTATCAAGGCAGACTTAGTAAGAAAGTTTTCATAACTGTTATTTCACAATATGTAAGCTTGATCAGAGCTCTCTAATTGATATTGCATAGGATAATCTCATAGCACAAGTTGGCTCACCACCAGTGTGTGGGGGTGTGTGGACATATTAGGTCCCCATCTGTTTATTAAGTAGACCCACTAATAACCACTGATTTAGTGAGCCCATGTTTCAACTACTTTCACCTGTTTAAATTGTTACATATATACTAAGAACTATACCATTGGTACTACAGCCCTCCTACTGCTTGCAGTTTCATAGAAGCATAGAATGTGATGGCAGATAAAGACCATTTGGCCCATCTAGTCTGCCCAATATTTCAAAATACTTTTAATTAGTCCCTGGCCTTATCTTAAGTCTAGGGTAGCCTTATGCCTATCCCATGCATGGTTAAACTCCCTCACTGTGTTAACTTCTACTTCAGCTGGAAGGCTATTCCATGCATCCACTACCCCCTCAGTAAAGTAATACTTCCTGATATTACTTTTAAACCTTTGCCCCTCTAATTTAAGACTATGTCCTCTTGTTGTGGTAGTTTTTCTTCTTTTAAATAGTCTCCTCCTTTACTGTGTTGACTCCCTTTATGTATTTAAATGTTTATATCATATCCCTGCTGTCTCGTCTTTCCTCCAAGCTATACATATTAAATTCCTTTAACCTTTCCTTGTAAGTTTTATCCTGCAATTCATGAACCAGTTTAGTAGCCCTTCTCTTAACTCTCTCTAGAATATCAATATCCTTCTGAAGATACGGTCTCCAGTACTGCTTACAATACTCCAAGTGAGGAGTATAGGGAATGGTAGGGTTACCCGATATGCCAAGTAACAAAAAAGGGTACTATTAGTTCAGGCTGTTTAGATGCACTCTCCACCAGGTTTTCTTAAAATTGGTGGACATGGAAAGTCTGATTATGGAGTTTATGGAGATCTTTGATATCCACTGGATGCCTCTTAAGTTAACAAAACTGTATACCTCTACATGGTTTCCTTAATTGCCACCCTACATGCAAGGGATGGCCAGATGTCTAAATTAAATACAATAAAAACAATAAAAGGCTGCGCACATAAAATAAAGTCCAATTAAAAAAAATAAGGAAAGTCCAATAGGTTTATTCTTACTGGTGTCCTTGGTTGATGAAGTCTTCTATTTATTGTGGTGGTTTCACTTAAATGAAAGATAAAAAGAGAAAAAGAGGGACAACCAATGGTGTAGTATGTAAAATTCAAGTCTAGAGGTAAGAATAATAGTATAAAACTCACATTTACCAGAGCTAATGTCCAGCTCTGGAGTGAAGCGCGTACAGTGGTTTAATCCCCGCTTGTGGGATATAAGGCAGGTTCCTCTCCGTGAATGGTATCCAATTCTCGGGATAAAATAAACAGCCAATAGTGCTCACTGTATGGCAGATAGTGATAAAATAATAAAAGAAATGTACTTACAAAGTAAGAGCAGACGCACTGCTCTTTGATGATAGCTTGGGTGGATTGATCCCCACCTACGGATTTCTTTGGGTACAGGAAACTTCCAGGAATAGTTAGGGTTTCTTTTAAAACCAGTTACAAAAATAATTAAAATAACAATAAAAAGGCCAGGGTAAAAGAGAAAAGTATGTGTCTATAAAAAAGATAATTGGCACAAACAAATGACCAATAATACTTTAATAT